GTCATAGTGAGCTTTTCCACTGTGTCACTCAGCTCATCCTGAATAAATGGTTTCAGTGTTCAATGTCATGAGGTTCCAGTGCAAACATCAGGCACCAGACAGTCAGATCAACAGGCTCTGGGTTTGTAGTGTATGGACTATTTTGACACCAAGGCTAGATGACATAGTGAGATAAACCGCTTTACAACAGACAGTTGTGCATTCTGCAACCAAATCTGGACAGATATTAATCCACAAAGCACTGGGACATATAGTAAATATCACAAACTTCTTTATGTCTGCAAAGCAAGACTGACCAACACCTTTTCTGCACCTAAGAAATTTTAAAAAGTTGTAGATAAAATACTTAAATGAATAGGTTTTCAAATGAACACGTCAGAGCTTTAGCACCAGTTAAACTCATGGGTGCTGCTTCCTGTTCCATTATTTAATGTCACGCTTCACTGAGAAAAACAATGGTAGTACCAGTAAGAAGTTAAAGTACGTTGCAAGCTGCGCACTGCCACTATTAGACCCACCAACATCCCAGGGGAACTGGTCCCCCCCACAGTTGACGGGGGGCCCTCTGTTGTGGCATCACAATCACAAAGCTGCCGCACAATTTTTAGAGGGAAAACAAATGGTAAGAGGGAGGCAGGAAGCTGCAGAGGCAGCAGCATCGCCCTCATCCTGCGCTCCACCCATCTCCAGTTTTCTAGGTGGAGCGGCGTAATCACTGAGGTTCAAACCCAACGCCCTCCACCCACCATGAGGTCCCTGGCTTATCTCTATCTGTCACTACAACTGGAGGACACACATGCATGTGGATCCAAAAGTCAACATACAGGTCAGGATATGACGCAGAGCATATGAGACAGACCAGTGATTTTGTTTAATTTGTGGCAGGAATACTGAAATGGAATAAAAAATGACTTCACAGACAATTAGATGCAAAAACCAAATATGGTCTCTCCCAATGATTCCTCCCCTTTTTTCCAGGCCGGACCCTCATGTTTTGCAGGGTGGGGATGTTAACACATGGCACTGTTTTCCATCCACTGGGCAGGAAATGCATCATAGTTCATTGTGGGGGGACTGTTGTGTTTTTTTAACAGGAAGGTGTAAAAATAACTATTAGCCAGTGGTTCCAAGGCCTGGCGGGCATGCCAGCATTTAGGAATGCAGAGGTTGAAGCAGAGATGTGTTGATTTAATACAACGAATAAACAGGCGGGAGCTTTTGTTTTTGATGAAAATCAATTAGGCGCACACGGTGAAGAGTGGCTACAGCAGCACCCTGCCTTCTAACATCTGAATTAGGACAAATGATTAGACAAAATAGGAAGTAAAAGGATTTTGATGTCAGTCATTATCGGGGGAGCAGGGTGAAGCAGAAAATCAAGGTTCAAGCGCTTGTGAAAATGTAAAGTGTCTCCTTTGCTGAAGTGCAACTGAACCAGCCACAACACTGCCTACAAAAAGTATTCATCCTCTTTGGAAGCTTTCCACATTTATTGATTTTCAGTATTGAATCATGGTCAATATAATTTGGCTTTTTTGATAAGAATTTACCAAAAAAAAAAAAAAAAGACTCTTTCATGTCAAAGTGAAAACAAAGTTCTCAGAAGAAATGTCAATTAATTAAATGTCTTTACAAAGTCTTCACACTACAAACACTTGAGACTCATTCACTGCACTCAGATGACTTCCATGTCATTAACTTTGAGACTTGTAGCACCAAATGGCTGCAGCTGTGTTGAATTAGGTGCGTCGCTTTAAATCGGGTGTATTCTTGTGCAGTCATTTATTTTACATTTTATATTTCTAATTATTTACATTACTTGGTAGAAATATGTTTTCCCTTGACATGAAAGAGTCTTTTTGGAAATTTTGGAAATCGTCTGAGTGCAGTTTGCCGACGTGAATGCAGTTTAAAAACTTTGTCAAAAGTTGTAATCATTTGATAGTTCTTTGTAGAGATCTGTGTTCACTTTGACATGACAGAGTCTTTTATAAATTCAATATAAATTCAAAAAAGCCAAATTAAACTGATCATCATTTAATGTTGAAAACCTCCAGGGGGTTTGCATACTTTTTTATCGGCACTATAGTTCTCCAAGGAGAAGGAATGGTGAAGAAACAAAGTTTAAGACTGAAAAGTAAGATAAAATGAGTATTAAAGGACCTACGAGTGTCCCTGCATGTTATTTACAGAACTTGGGTCTTAAAAAAATTAACCCCTCGTTATATAAGGTCTCACTCCCTGAGCTCCACTTGAACAAGCACAAACCCCCCCAGCAAAAGGCCTGAGAGAGGGCACAGAGGGAAGCGATAGGATAAAGAGCAGCGATCCCTTTCTCCAAGCTGTAGCATCCGCTGAGGAAACTCTAGAAGACAGGGACACAAAGATATGAGCGCACAACTCAGGAATGGAGGATGTTTGACGTCGATCCCAGCATCCCCTTCTCCCAGCCCCTTCCCCTCCGACACACTCCCCAACACTGATTGAGCTGTTTGTGTCGCCTCCTGTTATTGTCGGGGAAGCACTGGACAGTTTACGCCACGCTGCTTCCCTTTTTTTACAAAACTGTGTGCATTCCCACCGACCAGTGCATTTAAGAAAGTGTAGGTTCAGAAGTAAGAACGAGGAGGAAAAGGAGGTCCAGCAGAGCCATAAGTCACAATATAAGCTGTGATCAAGCTCTCTTCACGTGGGGGTGTTAAACAATGGGAACTATATTTGATTGAGGTTTTCCAAAGGCATTTCCTGACAACTTTGAAATTACGCCTCATGAGAATGCAGGGGTTACAGGAAGGGCCGCAGAGCTGAAATATGAATTTGACTGAGATTATGTTTGAGCGTGCAGGTCTCAATGTGCCTCTTCTGTTCCTCCACCTTTGGCTTTGTCTGCTTTTATTCTCAGGTCGTGTCCATCCCTCACGGCTGAGTGACTTCCTCACCGGGCCAGACAGTATTAGAACCTGGATTAGCATGTTTGTGCAGGCATTAAGCAAATGTTTTTACAACTTGTCCTTTGTGCTAAATATTTCCAGGGCAAGCAAACGCAGATTTCAAATTGCAGGAGGGTTTTCCATGACTGTGGAAATGCTTGCATGTGTGAGTAAGTTTTGTGGTCATGCAGGCTAGACTGCTCCCACATAGGTCTGCTCGGGAATATTTAAAGGTGTATGTGAGATGTGTGCTGACTTACAAAGCATCCCTCCATTTTTATTCTCCTCAATCAAGGTAGATGTCAGCCATCACTCAGCCAAGCCTTGTTCTCAAACATCTACTTGACAGTAGAGCTACAGTGGATCAATTAGTTGTCACCCACTAAATTAATCGCCAACTATTGTGAAGGTCAAATATTTGGTTGCGGTAATTTTTTAAGAAATCAAATTTAAATTCTCTGATTTCAGTTTCCTAAATGTAAATATTTTCTGGTTTATTTGCTCCTCTATGATGATAAACTGAGTATCTTTGGGTTTCTGGAGAAAATCTTCACCTTTGGGAAACACTGATCAACATTTTCCACCATTTTATAACATTTTACAGAACTAATTGATTAATCAACAATAAAAAATAACACTTAGCTGCAGCCCTACAGTTGACAGACATGCAATAAAGCTGAAGGTTATTTGTTACAGCTTCTGGAAGGCAGCTGTTTCTAAACTAGTCCAATCATTTTTTTTTTTTTGCAGTGTTCTATTTAAGAGTTAAACAGAGAGAGAAATATTCTCAGGTACATGTTTGGGATGTTTACAGTCAGATGGGCTGGCTGGTCCTCTGCTGCTCTCCCGCTGTACGTTTCCTCTCTGACACAGCAGAGAGGCGTGTGCTGCCACTGAGAGAGGAAACCACTCCAGAACTTCAAAGGTTCAGAGTTCAGCAGCCCATTTTAAAACGAACCCGTTGAACACTTCTGAAACCGCCTTCGCGGACAGAGCAAAAACTACATTTTGAACCTCCATGCACAAGAAAAATATGTTCATCAGTCTCCTTGTTGAAAGGACAATGCATCATGTCCTTTTATTGACATCTGACTATGTCTTATCTACATGAAATTAAAGTTTCAAACTCGGTTCAGAGTGGTATCTGCAGATCCCTGACTGGAGCAACTCTGGTGAAGGTGACAAGTTTAAGTTGATTCTGCAAAACCAAGTACTTGCCGGACATGATGAGTGGACACAGCACTGCTTACTGCATAATCTCTCCCCCAAACCAAGTGGTCCAAATGGGATTAAAGGATAAATTCATACTTAAGAACATATACGTCAGTAGCTAGGTAAGTGCTTTTCTCTCTGCGGATCAGTCATCACTTATTTGGCTGCTGGGAACAAAGAACTTTGTGTGGCATCACTTAGTGGATAGCCGGCAAACACAAGTGTTACTCTGAACATATTAAATCAATTAATTCTAAAACAATAACGTGTCTTGAAAAAAAGCCTAATAATCCCTGTATTCCATATGATAAAACAGTATCACGCAGAGATAGAAGGAATTAGATGTATTTTTTTTTCTTTTTTGCTGAATTTTTAAGCAGGACTACAGAAGCAAAACAAATCTGCTCAATCTTTAATTTTTTTTTTAAAGTACCTTGTAATTCTAGTTTTGAAATATGCTTTAAAATAAAATTAAAATTAAATGTATTATTATTGAGCTTTGGCCTGTGTGCTCTCCTTAATGTGCAAAAAAAGGTGAAAGTTGCATCAATGCAGTGAGAATAAGTTGCATAAAAACTGTTTGTCTGCTGGTAGCTGCACTTTTCCATTTTATGCACATAGAAATGATCAAGTTGAGCACACGGAGCTTCAGTAACACTCTTCTGTATCATCCAGGTGTGCTGCAAACTGAATGACACATTCAGCATATAACAAAGCAGTCGCTAGTTGTTTCCCATAAACTGTGTTTTGCTCTGGGGTTTGAGGTTTGGTTCTTGCAGTGCAAAGTGTTACAGAAGTCATCAGAGCGTCTCAGGTTCCTCCTCACTACCAGATGCTTGCACGCAGACACACACTCACCTTCCAGCCCGCGGAGCTGTTGCTGTCTCCCTTGTCCTTGAAGTAAGGCACACTCTTCACCATCCAGTCGTAAATCTGAGACAGTGTCAGCCTCTTTTCAGGCGAGCTGTCTATCGCCTTGGTAATCAGGTCAGCGTACGACATGTTCCCCCAGGCGTTACGGCGGGACGAGCTGCTCTTCCTCTGGCCGGAGCCACCCAGAGGTGGCACCCCGGGAGGAGGCACCTGTTGCTGAGGCTGCGGACCGTGCAGCTGCTGCTGCTGCTGCTGCTGGAGGTGGTGGTGGTGCTGCTGGTGATGCAGATGCACGCAGTTTCCATCCCGACACTGAAACACGCTGCAGGGTGCTTTCTGCTCTGCGTACTCTTCATAGTCTTCCTCCAACAAGCCGAGGTTGCTGATAATGTTTCCTCCTCCGGGCTCCTGCTGCACTGACGGCGCCGGGGAGGAGGTGTTGGAGCTGGCCGGGTCGATGAGCTCCGGTCGGGGCAGCGGCCAGGTGCAGGAGCGCGGCCGGGAGAGAGGCTCGAAGTCCGGGTCTATTTCGACCGGCTGTGCCTGCGGTGGCGGTACCTCAGCCATGTCAGGGTCCAACCATAGACACTCACATAAAAACAAATAATAATAATAAGTAGTGAAGAAAAGTCACTCAGTTGCAAAAAGAATTAGAATAAGATGATGCGTTCAAACGCCAGGTCCCAGAAGTGAAGCCGCACAAGACGAGAGAGGTTTGCAGTTTAAATGACAGAAATGTTTGGTTTCAGATCTCCTGTGAAGTTCACACCATCCTGCAGCGGTTAGTTGCAACTCTCAAGAGTGCCGCTCTGTCAGGACGGACTAGTGTGGTGCTGCCTTCACGGACCGCTCACAGACTCCGCGCTTTGAGTGTCACAAGCTGACAAGTGCATTCAAGTCAAGTTCGGTTAATATCATAGGCTGTGTAATATATAGTCTGTGGTTAATATAGCGCACGAATGGACACTATTGGAGTTAAAGTGTGTATTATTGAAGCAATTTATTGCTTTAACTCTTGTATAATTCAACTGACTAATTAGTTAGGAATTTATCAGTTAGTTACCAGAGCAACTTGTTATGTTCATTGTTATTAAGAGCTGTGTAGACTCAAGAAACTATAAATTAAAGATTTTTGTGCCATGATTTACAGTGCAAAGAGCTGGTATGATGTATTTAATGACAGCCATCTAGGCAGAAATTTAAAAAGTGTTTCATTAAAGTTATCATACACCTCCAGATTCTACCCATATAATAAGAGAAACATGTCGTTATTGCTGTTTATCTTTTCTAACTCCGTGCCACAACCTCAACATATTTTGTTCAACTCTAGCATGAGAAATTCTTGTCTTTTACTTCTCGTACACGTTTTGAGAGCACTTGAATGCACCATGAGGGCAGGGGAAATGTAGACTCCCCCTGCTGCTTCAAGAGACACCTGACCAAGAACTGTTTGTGTTCTCTCTAAAATCTGTCCCTTGTTGGCTTCATAGTGAAGTCATCAGGTGTTTTATTTTCAAAAGGTGACATGGTAGTTTTTTTGTAGTTGGGCATTTATCCTATTTTAATAAACGGTTCAACACATTTCCCCCTCTGCTACTTATGATTTTAACATCTAAAACACTGACATAACTTCACAAATTGTTAGGACACCACTTTATCGTGATGTGTTACAGGGTTGTTGGTTTTTCATGCACTGGTCAATTTTCAGATTTGGGGATATTTTGAGAGAGAAAACATTCAAAATGTTTATTTTGCTACACTTTGTTCATTTGCATGTGTACATTTAAACTATAATACCCATCTTTAATGGTGTTTTCCTTTAGTTCGTTATTTCTCATACTCTGAGTCAGGAATCTCCACTGCAGTAGCACCAGTTTATTCCTTCTTTTTCTGCCTGTTGGAGTTATTTTCTGATTTATGTAGTGCTAAAAAGAAATATTCCAAAATCTCTGATGACTCTAAAATGTCAGGATTGTGTTCTGGAAACCGAGGAAACTATGGCACTTTTAGATATATAATAACGCTTTATTTGAAAAATTCAGAAAACCTTTAATACAAAAAAATCACTGTTTTATTACAAGTGATTAACTGGGGAAGCATTGTAGGGATATCTATTTCTTCAAATGTTTTACCAAACTCACCTGTAGTGTCTCCCCTCAGTTATAGGCTGGTCAAGAATTTAAAATATATATATACAAATATACATCACAATATATGCAATTGCTTTGCAGAAGGATTTTTGTTGTTGCTGTTTAAATATCAAGGTTCCAATCTCAATGTCAAATCACTAAAGCCTAATTATATATAGAACCACAGCTGTCAGTAGTGCCATCTAGTGGGTTGTGTTCATACAGTGTGTTTCTCAGCTGAACCAGGTTTCCTTCCACACCAGCACCCTTTTTATACCTTATACAGCACAAGGAGTGACCCTCCTAAAGGCTTGTGATGTGTGTTTTATAGTTTATCACCTAAACCTAAGAACATGGCTGGAAGCGATCAAAATAACCTTTAATTAAGCTTCATTTGTGCCATGATACAGAGGCACACAGAGAGCAATGACAGAAGAAAAATCTCTAAATGTACAGTGCTTAACACATTTATTAGACCACCACCCGGTGTAAGGTTTATCCCACAGCTGCCCTAAATTATCAGCACTGGTATTTACCAAAAATAATTAGTATGTTTCTGTAGTGGTTATTACACCAGTATGTAGAAGCTCTTATTTTTTTATAATGCTAGAATATAATTATTATTGTAATCCATTAATTTTTGAATGTACTGTTTTGCAAAAAATAAAAAAATAGTAAAGCACATTATTATTTCCCAATTAAGATGCCAAATTCTAGTTATTTACTTGTAAGTTTCATCTAAAGCAAGTCTGTGGAAACAGCTAGAAAGTATTTGGAGCTCAATAACCAAAGAGACTGTGAAAAAGTACATAAAAACATAAAAACAACACCAGCGAGAATGCAAGCTGTTATCACGGCCAAAGGAGGTCATACAGAATATGAAGGGTTTTTGGTTATTATATGTGAGAAAGGACTATTTAGTTGTTTCAGTTTGTTATTTGTCAAACAAATAGCTTTCTTAGTTTTAAACAAGCTTTTGTAAAAATTCTAAAATATGTGACTTCTCGTGTTTGTGACAGGTGTTCTAATAAACTTGTGAAGCATTGTATATATTTACATGCTATATACAATGTTACCTGCAGCCTGCACAGTGCGCGTCTGTATATTTTTCCTTCAGTCTGTTATTGCTGCCTGTGTGCTATTGTACCTTGGATGATTTTTTTCCACACAAAAATACTTCCAACCTAGATTTTACATTGTAATTTAAGCTGCTATGTAACCCTATTATTAGTGTTTGTGAACGTTTTTTTTTTTTTTTAAGATGCAGGTTTAAAAAGTGTAAAGGGTGCAAACAGGCATTTTACACAGAACAAACTAATCAAGTTAAAAGTTTTTACAGAATGCTTCACAACATTAAGTTCACTGATAGCAAAGAGAATGGAATTTGAATTGCTGAATAGTAAAAAAAAAAAAAAAAACACTTACTTATTGGACCTGTTGTCCTTCGTCTTGCTAGAAAAGTTAAAATTACGGTTGGGGGGGAAATGTTAACGATTTTCCCTTTGGGCCATTTGATCAGATCTGCAGCCTGCACTCAAGTCAGGATTAGTTAAACCTGATTTAGCTCAGTTGTTCTTTAGTGTTGTGAAATAAACATAGACTGTTGTCACATGGTTTAAGATCCATTTTGTCTTTAGTCCCTTTGTCAGTTACCTAGCGGTTAAAGATGTGCACTTAAGACAGAGTTTTAATGAGCTGAACCCCATGTGGCCCCTCAACGCTACACTACAGTCGTATCAGATTCCCACCTTAGATTACGGTTTCTCCCTCGTGCTGCAGTCAGATTTCTCACTTGTGTTTTGTCTCTGCTGCAGTCTGTGACCTGCAGCACGACCTCACCTTACTTAACTTGTTTCTAACGGAAATGAAATGTAAGATCACTTTTCTTGTTTATTCATTTTAACTCTAAAACGGAAAAACAAAAAACAGGATTATGTAACGGAAGAATGGACCATATTTCAGTAACCGGACCACAACCTTTGACTGTTTTCTCTCTCAGCTTGAATCCGCAAACTGATTCCATTTCTGATTCCAGAAACATTGGCCAATACAATACAGACTTAAAGGGAGGCCAACATGAGAAGCGGTGCCAACATCTTATCGTGCCAATCACTCTGTTTAAGGAAAAGTGAACAAAATGTGGAAATGAGGCACTTTCGAATGTCAACCTGTCACTTTCCACTTTCTCAGACAATAGATGGAGGAGGGTGTTTTTAGACCAGAAGGGATCCGTGTGGCACATTGTTAAGAGGTTGTTTAACTTTAAAAGCACTTCCTTTGCGAAGGGTACCGGGTTCAAGGTCTAATTACGCTCCTACTGTAAACCTGATCCCCATTGCTGTACACACGTTTTGCTCTTTTCACAGCTTGCCTGGAAAAACACCATTAATCATAACTGCAGGTGTTTGTGTGACCTCTGACACTTAAAGATTACAAAAATATTTTCATCAACTTATTTTTTTCATGTGGGGGTATTGACATCCATCCAGCTTAACAGTCCACTGATGTTTTCTTATGTAACTTGACCTGTAAATGTGCTCTGATGCAACAGTGAGCCTTTTATACCAATACTGTAATAAATTTAACCAGTGTTCAATAGTTTTTGTCCATAACTTAATACCACCTGTGCATCCTCGAAAATGACTGCGCTGATATGACTGTACAACCAAATACACTGAGAATCCAAATGCATTTTAATGCAGTTGTGTCACCATCAGTGACACACAATAGCTAGTTAATTTCCTGCAGTAGCATTGGACGATGCAAACAAAGTATGAAGAAATTAATAATGACAGACGGGACAACTGACACACACTGAAATAAGTAAAAAGCCACAATTGCACTTTTCTGCTTTAAATGTGTGTGTACAGTAATATTTCACTTTCTTCCTGGACATTTTTCCTCCACCATGTAGCAAATGTTGAAGTTATTACATAGTGGTACTCTAGTCAGATCAACACTTTCCAGTCCACTCTAACAGGTCTCCTTGGAGAAGTTAAGAAACCCACGAGACTGCATCGGTAAAGATGATCATCGCTTTTGTTTTTATGTGTCCACATCCAGTAAAATTAGAAGATGCATTTAGCTGTCTTTAAGTTTAATTGAGGTCAGCATTGGCCTCCTTGAGGACCTCCTCTTTTTGTTGGAAGTAGTCTCTAAACCAGGAAATGTGCCCCTTCTTCTGCTGTACAGTCAGGTAGGGATTTCTGGACAGACCGGCCACCACCAGCTCCATGAAGTGACGCACTGGTCCCTGGTGAGGGAACCCTTCCTCCAAGTGTTTCTCCAAGAAGATGTGCTCGTGGAACGAGACACTGGCCTCCTCCTCTAGGCCTAACATAAAGCAACAATACACAGTCAGTGTGTCCTTCAGGAAGTTTCTTTTTCTTTTTTTATATAATAAAGTCAAACATAGTCTTTAATGCTCACCGGCTTCATTGTCAACTGGGTACTGCCACATTTTCCCCTCTTTGGTCCATTGGATCATTTCTTCGAACCCGTTGCGAGGTGCTTGGTTGGTCACCTGAGACAAATTATTGGCAAACTCCATGTCCCATAGAGTTGGCTGTGCTGAAATTATGACACAAGCGTTATGAGCAGTAACCCAATAAAAATAAACCAAAAAGTTTTACAATGAGGCAAAATGTGGAGCAAAAATTTTGAATCCCACACCTTCAAATTATTTCTAAAGACAAAAAAAATCTAGGCAAATAACAGCACAAAGCAGTAGCCTCTGTAAGCAAACATAGTGGCTTAATAAAAAAAGAAAAAAAATCAGTCTTTATTACCAGCTGTTGATTGAACTGCATCATCCTCTGTAGTAGGAGAGAAGATGTTAAGTCTTTTTGCTAGGAAAAAGTTCCTCCTAAAAAAACAAACAAACAAAAAAAAGACACATTGGACTCATGATCCATCTCAAAAATTATCGGAGTAAAGATGCGATAAATGTATTTACCTTCTCCGAACACCAACCAGCTCACCAGTGATTCCTCTATCACGGGTATATCCTCGTTCATCATCATCAAACGTGATCTGGCTGGATGCTGAAGGCTTCTGTCGGCTGTACTGCCTTCCTACTTTCATGTCAGCAATAATTTCTCTGAGAAAATGATGTTAGATTAATGTTTAGAATAAGGCCTTTTATTTTTGCATTATTCAAAACAAAAAAGCAAAGAAAATGTCAGCCTCTCATTTAAACATTAATTCCATTGTCATGAATGTACATACTGTAAACATACCCAAGCTTGCTCATGTCTCCTTTCTTCTGAGCTTCGGTGATGGCCTTGCGCTCCCTCAGCTGCCTGAGCAGCACAGACTGTGCCCTGTTGCTGTCAGGAAGAGTAGCGGCAGCAGCAGATGCAGCTGCAACCAGATCAGGCTCCAAAGTCTCACTAAGAAACACAAAGCAGAAAAGCTGGAATGAGTGAATAAAGCAAGAGCTGAGCTTCAGATATCCTCCCAAGGTTAGAGTGTAAAGTAAGTACCTACAGATGAAACAATCAAACTTGCAATAAGTTGCAGTAATCATTTCATCACGCTGAGCATAATACTTATGTGCAAAAGAAGAAAACTGAACTTAAATAAGGCAATGCCACCCATTGAAATAATTTCTCACGGTTCCCTCACCTTGGAGGTGAAGCCGCCTCTGTAGCCTTCTGAAACATACTGATGGTGCTCTCCATAGCTTCTGACTTTGACTCAGGATGTTTAATGGACTCATAATTCTGCTTAATCGTCGTGCCTTTGAACTTCTTCTTACTAGTAACTTCTACTTTCATGGCTACCAGGAGGTCCAGGAGATGTTGCTTCCCACTCTTAGCTGCATCAATCGCGGCTTCTGTTGGCTTTTCCACAACCGGTTCCGTTTTAACATCAGTCTGCTGTTGTGTGGTGCTTCCATCTTCTGCCATTAACACCACCGGCTCCTCCGTTTGTTTAGCCATCTTTGCTTGGTCAGTTTCTGTTGGAGGATCTTCTTTGACTGCAGTTGTTTTCTCGTCTTGATTGGAGGGCACGACATCATCTTTCTTTTCACAGAACCTGACAGAGCTTGTGCTGAGTGTGTTTACTCCACCTCCATTTACAACCCTATGATAAGAGGAAAACAGTTAGCCATCATAGGGGAACAAATCACAAGGTTTCACAGGAAAGTTTAAATAATGATCCTATTATCACAATATGAATATTAGGAGTGGGCAATGCTGTCTTAAAAATGATACTTTAAAGCAGGGATTATACATTTGCATATAATTTTGTGAATGCACTTTAATAAAAAGTTGTAAACTGCATACACCTGTGCATTAAAACAAGGGTAACATGTACAAGAAAACTGTCCGAAAGAGTGTTCAGAACTTTTATTCAAATGCAGCAGATGCAAACCACCAATAAAGCACATAAACAAGACGCAAAGCTTGGTTGCATGAACAAGCCCGAGCACGCTTCCACTTTAATGGAGGAGCCCCTTCATGTCCCTGTTGCCCGTCCTACACCTCTGTGCCCCACCACCTCCACCAAAGCAAAGCGCTTCTGATGCTCTGATTCGATGGTTGATGGATTCAAGTGTCAGGGTGCATACTGAGACCAGTCTGTGTCCTGTCTATCCTGGTCCAGGTCAGCTCCTCAGAGCCTGAACCTCAGCATGGTGGGGCGACTTTGCCCTCCTTATGTGCGGAAATGTATTTACTTGTGTTTTTAATTGTTGTGTGTACCTTGACAAGAAGGCTTCAGCGGTTAAATTCAACATTTCCCTTTCTTCCTGCTGCTCTTTAGCTTTATCACCCAGCACATTCATTGTGAAGCAGAATTCACCAAGCGTTGGTTTGTTCACCCACTAATAAGGAACGTGAGCTGGGTTTAGACCGTCGTGAGACAAGTTAGTTTTACCCTACTGATGATGTGTTGTTGCAATAGCAATCCTGCCCAGTACGAGAGGATCAACAATAAAACATGTGAGCCTGTACAAGATGTGTAACGCCATTTACATGTTACCATGGAAACGATCTCTGGAAGAAGTGTCAATCAAAACGTCCCGCCCCACTTGTGCAAGTGCAATAAGCTAACAGCTAGCTGTCTGTCCCTCTGCTCTTATGACAACAAGTAAACGCCAGCTATTTGGAATACACACTGTCAACACTTTCTTCCACTAAAACACGTCAATAAGCAACCCAGCAGTCGCATTTGTCCTTCATGAGTTACGCTACAGGGTTTCACCGTGTGTCCCGGTCAGTCCCAGCTGACAGTCGCAGCCGCTGCTCACCTGAAAACTGGAGCTGCTGCCTTTTCACATTTCGCCGGTAAAACACACGACTCGTACACAATGACTGAAGAATTCCGAGCCGCGCACACAGTCCGGGATAAAAATCTATACATGACTGCTTTTGCTGTGTCCTTCCACGTTCCTTACGTTTGTGTTCGTTGCTGCAACATAAGGTCACCCCCTAAAACCAAGGAAAACATTAGTTCCGACCCGGGACAGGATTCTTGTGGAAACGGATGAACGGCGTTCTTCGCATTGAAACTGATTTATAGTTATTTTATAGTGTGAATTCTTTTTTTGAGTGTGTGTGACATTGCTTATTTTGCCAATGAAAACACATTTTCTTTGCTTACTTGCAATACGTAAATTTTTTGAATTACTTCAACGGTTACTCATCTGTCATGTCCCTAATTGTACTCTCGCGATAGCACAACCGGAACGTGACTCAAAATGGCGATGGAACACAAGCGCTAATTCACGAGCGGAGGTCCCAGCTGCAGACCGTGAATTAGTTTGTTTTTTACGCCGAGAGATGGATTTTCACAGAGAAGAAACAGCTTTACGAAACCGCCATTGTTGTAAACATTGATTGTTTTTATTTGTATAAGTTCCTGCTTAAACTCAGAGAGGAGAGGGCAACTTCACACAGGTAAAAACGTCAACGGAAGCTAAGTTATTAGCATGCAAGCTAACATACATCAGATTTAGCGCAAGTTTAAGTTAATATTAAAGGCGTTTGCAGTCGCCAAGATAAGTAAAATTGACACAGATTTTTATTTTGCGATGAAGTCTTTGCGTTTGAATGAATACACTTTTAGTGTGACTTGTGTGTTGCATGTAGCTACTTGGTTGTCGTTCCGTTAAAGTGATTAACCCGCTCTCTGGAGCTCAGTGTGTTTGTTTACACACATGAAGTATTCAAATCTGTCAAAACTGCTAATGCATTGGTCTTTTTCCTTTAATGTTGCATTAATTTAAGACTTTGAATCAAAGTATATGTAATCTGGATTGTTGACATTGAAAGCATGGAAGACTTATTGCCATTATCTAGAAATTAATTTTACGTTTTGTCACGAACAGATGTAAATATCCCTGAACTCAATATTTAATTTGGGCATCGTTTAGAAAAGACTGCCTTCCGTCTGTGTAGATTAAACCACGTTAGCCTTGCAGATTTGGAAACATGGTCTTTGCAAAATTTCGCGCACTTCTGCAAAATGAGCGTAATGAGCTGTACTTTTAAACTTCTGCCATAAATGTAATTGCACCGTAATTACAAGCCCTAAAAACACAAGCAATGTTTTGAGGCGTGCAAAGCTTTGGCTTTGTTGTTACTTGTTGCATTTATGTTACCTTGTACGTGCATACACTGCAGAGTGTGTTAGAGAGATTTATCTGTCATAATGTTGTCAACACTGGGCTTCATAGTGGGAATATTGGGTTCTGCTGATGTGAGGTTGAGAGGTTGAATTTACAGACGTGTGTGCTTTGTTATGCAGCCATGGCGGAGGAACGTCGACAGAAGCAGTGTTCGGTCGTCTTGCCCACAGAGTCGATGAAGGCCATGGCAGAGTCTGTAGGAGTGGGGCAGTTACAGGAGGAAAGCTGCGTAGCCCTAAGTGAAGAAGTCAGCTACAGAATAAAAGAAATTGCACAGGTAAAGCATGGATGATTGAAGCAGATATGATATTATTTTGTTTGCATGACAGACAAAACAGTAATCGCTTTGAAACCATGTGCTTGAATGTTGTGTGGATTTATAAATAAATGCCTTTCTGTGTCTTTCCTTTTTTACATAGGATGCTCTGAAATTCATGCATCACGGGAAGAGACGTAAATTAACCACAAGTGACATAGATAATGCTCTTAAACTAAAAAATGTGGAGGTGAGTGAGAACTTGCAAATTTGAAATTAAAGAAGAATTGTATTTTTGGTTGCATAAAAGGTCTTTTGATGGATATAACTTGAGGAAAAACAGGAAGTGGATCTAAATTCTGTATTCTAAGTACATTCCTTTTGTTGCAGCCCCTGTATGGGTTCCAGTCGCAAGAGTTTATCCCTTTTCGCTTTGCAAGTGGCGGTGGAAGAGAGCTTCATTTCTACGAGGAAAAGGAAGTCGACCTCAGTGACATTATAAACACACCGCTCCCCAGAGTTCCACTAGATGTGTCACTCAAAGGTACCCAGAAAATTTGCATTGCATGGCATTATACTCCATTATATTGCATTGTCTTGTTTTGACTGCATGATTTGTAAGCTCATACACCGTGCTTGTTTTTTAATCCATAGCTCACTGGTTAAGTATTGAGGGGGTGCAGCCTTCTATTCCAGAAAATCCACCACCAGGTTCGTCTTGTTTAAACGTTCTTCTTTTAAAACACAAAACATGATGTATCTGGACGAAAAACTTAAATGTAAGGTATGTCTACTGCTTTTCAGCACCAAAAGAGCAACAAAAGGCTGAATCTACAGAACCCCTCAAAGTTGTCAAACCTGGTCAGGAGGAGGAAGGTACGATTCAAGGCAAGGGTCAAGGCGCAACAGCTCCTGATGGCAAAGGTCAGTATCTTGTGTTCTGTTTAACTTTTCTCTATTTTCTCCCCCTTCTTCCCTCCTTAATCATTAACAGTAATATTCGTCCCTCATGCTGTGTTTGTATCTGTCTTTTTCAGGAAAGGAGAAGGGCATGATAAGGTTGAAACCACGCAGCACTCACGAGCTGTCGGTGGAACAGCAGCTCTACTATAAGGAAATCACAGAAGCATGTGTTGGCTCGTGTGAAGCTAAGAGAGCTGTACGTCCTGCCTGTCTTTCTGTATATAGTGGTTTATTTTATACATGTTTAGTAATAACACAATTATAGACAGTTTTTTTTGTTTTTTTTTACAACAATTATAGTCGCTTTCCGACAATCTATAAAGAAGTCAGAAATAATAGTGCAAATATAAAATTGTTACTTTGATGGTATTTGTCATGTCATGTGACTTTTCACTAAATGTTTCCTTTTGTTTCATGCAGGAAGCCTTACAGAGTATTGCTACAGATCCTGGGCTGTATCAGATGCTTCCAAGATTCAGCACATTTATTTCTGAAGGAGTAAGAATGTTTCTTCTTTTCATGTTTAGAAGTGTTCATCACATCACATTAAATACCTACGCATCTCTCTGCTGAAAATACTGACTGTAACCTCTCCCTAAAGGTTCGCGTAAATGTGGTGCAAAACAACTTGGCTCTACTGATTTATCTAATGCGGATGGTCAAAGCTCTAATGGACAACCCCACGCTGTATCTAGAGAAATACGTAAGTGAAGAAAATGTTATAATGTTTTTAAAATATCTAAATTCAAGACAAAAATATAATATCGTGATATTGTTTTTTTGTGTCTGTATCTATAGCTACATGAGCTCATCCCAGCTGTGGTCACCTGTATCGTGAGTAAGCAGCTCTGTTTGCGACCTGATGTCGACAACCACTGGGCTCTACGAGACTTTGCTGCTCGCCTCATGGCCCAAAGCTGCAAAACCTTCAGTACTACAACCAACAACATCCAGTCCCGTATTACCAAGACTTTTACCAAGGTGGGCTTTTGTGTTGCATATTTTGTTGCTACAAATGTTAAGCTCTTGTTGTGATTGTTTAAAGCTTCGTAGATACCTTAGAGGTGTTGCCTTGCTTGCAGTCATCCAGCCCATTTATTCCTTATGTCTTGGAGTTTCCTAATATATTCTTCTGTTCTAAACAACTCTACATTTTCTAAAAACCTTTGTGAAAATGCAGGCATAACTCCAGCTAGTTAAATATCTCACCCTTGTTGTGCAACTGTGTCTTTGGATTTTTTTCAACAGTTAGTAAGTTTATTTTGTTAATAACCAATGTCCTTGGTTCCCAAAATGGTAAAACAAATAGTAGTGCATAGTTTATAGCACTTCTTTACTTTAACCATGACATCACTGTTTCAATGGCTTCCCATATTTAACCCGACTGATGTTTTTACAGAGTTGGTTGGATGACAAAACTCAGTGGACGACACGATACGGCTGCATCGCTGGACTTGCTGAACTGGGACCTGATGTGAGTTTAATGTTATTTTCTCCTTGTGTTTTCTTGCTCGTTATGTTCCATTCCACCGACCTTCTGCTTTCGTCCTCTGCAGGTGATTAAGACGTTGATCCTTCCTCGGCTTACTGTAGAGGGTGCTCGCATCAAAGCAGTGGTGGAAGGACCTGTGGTCTCCAATATTGATAAGATTGGTGCTGATCATGTCCAAAGCCTCTTACTAGTAAGAAATAACGTTTTTGAGCATCATTCATGTTAAGGTGGATACATTTGTGAACAAAAACTGTCAAATCAAGTCACAAAAGCAGTGTTACAGCTATAGTAAGGATTTTTGTTTTGGTTTTTTCTTTTTCAAGAAACATTGTGCCAGTGTCATTGCCAAGATACGACCTCAGCCTGACAACGTGGAGCAGTATCGGACAGACTACGGTTACCTCGGACCTATGCTTTGCTCTCATGTAATGAAAGCCAGGACTCAAGCAGCACTGCAAGCTCAGCAAGTCAACAGAACCACATTAACAATCACACAGGTACACTTTACACTTAATAAAAATCTGTTTTCTCTCAATGCAATGAATGTGAAAAGGCTGAAGGGCATTTTATACAATGTCAGAATAGTAAATAAAAATACCATAAAAAGCACATGTTCACATATATCCTGTCTTTTAGGCTGCACACCTGCAGTCCAGGGTTAATGTGAAACCGTGCTGAATAACGTGAAGGTAAACAAGCAAGCTGCTGTTTAATAATGAATGCTGACGCTTTCTTGCAGCCTCGTCCCACCGTTTCAGTCTCACAAAGTGGGTTAAGTGGGTCGGCGGGGCCGCGCACTCCCAGCATCATTAAGGTTCCAAGCTCCCTCGCACTGATGTCCCCGCGACCTGGAACCCCATCACAGCCGTCTCCCCCGGCAACCAAGTACATTGTTATGGCAACTAGTGCAGGAGCCGCCTCAACTCAGCAGGTACTTTAATCTTTTAATATGACATTCACCCAAGGTACCCTAAAATAAGCTTATGTTGATTAGGAGATATGATAAAAGTATCAAACCTTATGTCATATACTTAACCTTTTTATTGCTGTTTCGAAGCTGCCACAACAATGTATGCACAAT